TTTCTGCAGACTGTTCTAGTGGTCTTCCAAATTTCCAGTTCTGGAGTAGACAGACTAAAATCAGGGCCCACAGCTTTCAGAAAGGTAGGTAGGGTCTTAAACTTGGCTTGTAATAACAGCAGCAAGAGGAAAAGCTGGGGATCCCGCTTTTGGAGTATCTAATTTATTTAACTGCTTGGCTTCTGTTGTGTTGAGGTTGCGGGATGTGGCAGTAACACACAGCATGTATATCGTGATTCCAAGTGGCTCATAAGAAAGAATTTTTCCAGATTACATTTGTTTGCTTTGTTTATTAGATGTCCAAGGCTGGATATTTCTAGGAGATAATTACCCTTCTTCCCAGAGGAAGCAGCTGATGACTTCACTACCTCTTGCTAGCAGCCTCTTACCCACATTGTGATCAACACAACCACATCATCACACCAGCTCTTCTTGAGACATCTCATATTTATTCCCGACCTGGACAGATCCATGTGCCAAAACTTATCTGTCTTTTCCAGTTTCACCCCTTGATTTCATAAACACACTTCCCAACAAACGCAACTTGGAAATGAGGAACTAATTAAACCACTCTCAGAACTGAAGTAAAATAATGGCAACTACAAAAGTTAGAACTTGCTCCACTTGTCACAGCATGCATTATGTGGCTTTGCCTTGAACTGAATCATGAGGGAAAAAGGCTTCCAGGCCCCTGCAAAACCACTCTCTTCCCATCAATTCTCTCCTTTCTGTTCCCTTATCCCAATGTAGAAACAAAAAATAAGGTAGCCAAATTTATTATGAATCCCTATTGCACAGTACATCTCCCATTAAGATGTTCTCTTGATTACTTCAGTCGACTTGCTGATCCCCAACGGCAAGTGGCAGCTCCAATTTGTCTACTGGTAACTTTCATCTGTGCTAATAATAAAAGTTACAGGGAAAGGGAGGCAGAAGACACATCGCGTTTGCCTCCTCAGTAAGTCAGGATGTCATCCTCTCTGCACTCCCCAAGAACTAATGCCTCTTCAGATCACAGGTGGGGAAAGCCTAATTCTTCCACCCAGACTCAGAAACTAATGATTATATGCACATAGGTATTGTTACACAAAATGTTTGGCAAGTGGTTTATTTCTCTAAATTGACAATTTTCTGTAAGTCATTTTTTTTTAGTATTTTTGGAATACTTCCTTCAGAACAACATGTCTTTCTTCATTCAGTTTAACCTCTCCATCCAGCAAGTATTTCTTCCCTTCCATGTTTCTGATAGAACACAAATCAACAAAGAGAGCTCTTGCAGTTTTTCTTTCCTGTGTGTCACTACAGGACATCAACCAAGTCATGATGATTAAATAATTCTGGAAACCAAGTCTGCAGGCTTCTTGAAGATCCCCATCTGTCTGACTAAGGCTCTGGCCCACCAAAACTACCACACTCGGAGCAGTGTTACAGCAACAGCAGCCACTGAGATCACCTGGAAATTAGATTTGAGTGTTGTAGAAAGATATTGAAGGTGACACCTCAAAATGACTTCAAAAAGAAATTTAATGTTTGAGGGTTAAAGTTTTGGACCACTGACATCATTTGAAATCTTGTGCTGAAGCTGGATGTATTTCAGAAGGGAGGGTTTTTTTTCAGGGGAGGGGGGTGGGGGGGTTCTTGTATTTCTAACCTTTGCAAAGCTGTGCATGTGGATACACAGGCACACAAATAAAGGAAGATCAATGCCACCATAAGCACCTACACAACTAAGTTCAAAGCGTGCAGAGAACATCAGAGGCAGCTTTTGTAATTCTATGCCTTACAAACTAGTGCAACACCTGACACTGGATAATTTCATGCTAAAATAATTTTGAGCCTGCTTCCTGAGATTATAATTCTAAGCATTGAGTGTTGTGGGCAGTTTATTTCATTTTGTTTTAAAAACCTCTTCACACGATGGTCTCGAAATTCTATGTTTTGGTCATATGCACCTCCACTAGATGGCGCACTTTTAAAAGACATTTCCCTGTTTCTTTCCTTCTTGTGTATCACCAGGAATACGGAACAGCTTTCAGCAATGTCACCAAGAGTCATCCCAGGCCACAGCTCTTCGACTGAAAAAAAGCTGCCATCTCCTTCAGTAGGGTGAAGCAGCAGCAGGTACTGCGGCTGCTCGTCACCCTCCTTCACTGCAGGGAGGGCCCCAAACCAAACAGAGCCTCCAGTGGGCTACCACCCCGGGACCTCATCCAAAGCAGCCTATGTGTTGATTATATGGCTGAAACTGCAGTTGTCCTGCACTTGCCAGGTATCCCTGTCCTGAGAGAGGTGGCCTTTCACATGATATGTTTCTGATAAGGAACGTAAATTCAGTCAGTGTGTGCTATTCCTTTCACACACACCTAATGAGATCTTAGGATATCTACTTCAGGATCCAAATGATTCTATAAAATCACCGAAAGCAGTTCAAAGTAAGCATTGGTTAGCACTGAAGTTGACTTTTACTCTTCTTCCTGAACTGAGAGCTCCTTACATTTGTCATCATTCTCCATGTACTTTCTAGTTGTCCCTGTTACTCCTTGGAGAATTACTTATTTATGTTTCCTCTTTTATTGAAAAAGCAGTGCTTTTTCATTAAAACCATCCTCAGGGTTAATAGAAACTTGTAGGAAAAAGCTGAGGGAAAGAGCTAAGGCGGTTTTACTTACCCACCACCTGAGGGAGAAAAGAAGCCTTCATAACCCGCATTATTGAGCTTTTCTCAATACATGTCCACAACTGAAATAAGCTGTGCAGGGATAAGGTGGCCACATGATGTTTGCTCCATCACTCCTCACCTTGTTCTACCTTCTCCTCAAACTTCATCCACCTACAAGAGGGCAGAGCAATGAGTGCAAACATTCAAGAACTTGGCCATCCTCACCAGGTAAATCAATTATGAACATCAACAAAATGAACAAGGAACACCCAGTGATCCAAATCTTCAGGTTACCTTTTAACAGCAATAAACCTTCTCTTTTACTGCTCTATTTCTGATGTGTTGACTGGGCTTTGCTGTGACACTTTGCGCACACTAAGTACATTTCTCCAAGACAGCCCTTTATTGTGAACCATGGCTCAACATCATGATGAGCTAAGAGACAACAGGACCACTCAAAGGAATCCTCGAGCCCTGGTCATGGGCTGATCTTACCTACCACCAGAAATGTCACCGTGTGCGGGGGAAAAACTCCAGCCTGTTTATATGGGGGATGTAACACAGGCAGCTGAACTCAGATGAGTCAAGGACCATGATGACAATGAATCAAGAACCAACTCAAGGTCCCCTCTGGAAATACCTTTTAAACAGTATCTTTAAGGTTCTGGCTAGAAATTTTCTATGACATGTATCAGTTATTTTTCTATTGACCCAAACAGCTTTGCAAGGGATAAAATAATTTGCTAAAGCCTTTTAATACAAATACTCTTCCTTAACAGCTTCCATGCCCCCCAGGTCTTCAATCCAAGGCCTGCAGCTAACTCCCCTGCCCTTGTACATCTAGCAGCAGAAGGCTCTTTCAGCAAAATTCAGTCATTTCAGGAAGATACTGAGAAATCCTGAGCAACCATACACCATGCAGGATCACTATCAGCAAGCAGGATGCAAGTCAAGAGGTTTGGGCTGAGTGTAGGAACTGCACCTCAATGGGATGCTTAGAGCATGTAATGTACACATGTATCTTCAAAGATGAAGCATGTATCCAGCTCCATCTAGCACTTCTACCAGAGACATGTGGAAGCACATAAACCCAGAAATCTTTTGCCAGAGAAGAAAGAAACCTCCCGTTTTCCCTACAGCCACCTGACAGTATGAGGAGTGAAGGCATATCCCACTGGAAGGTCCTTTAGATGTAAGAGTGAAGGGCTCCTGACCAATGTCCCTCAAGAAACAGCAGAGCTTTGTGACCTGCCATGCAAGACACAGGGCATCTTTCTTCCAATGGCTGGCATTTGTGGACTTATGAAAAACAGAGCTTTCCAATATTCTTACTATAAAGGAGACTGAAGGAACTGCTCAATACAAGGTATCACACTAAGATCTGAATTGTGAAAAAGCTTTAACAATTTGCCATTAAAACCCCTTCCCAAAGACCTACACATGGACAGAGGAAAGAATCTTTTGCTATAAAAGCAGAGCTGGGCAGTACAGATGACAAAATGCAAGTACCAAACTAATGACAAGAGGGGGGAAAAACAATAAAGGGAGAAAAGCATGACCAACAAGCAAGAAGTTAAAGAGTAAAAAGCCTTTAAACAGGTTCTCCAGGTGACTGAGAAGTAAAAATAAAAGATAAGGGGGCAAAGGGGTAAGTGGTGGAACAGCTCATTATATCACAGGTAAAGAAAAGGTAAAGATAACCTGCCACAGAATTTCTGTGCGCTCTATGATGGGTTCAGAAAGAAGTCTCTGTTAGAGCTCAGGCTTGTTTACGCCTGTCAATGAGCACTGTCATTCCAGTTCTGTAATTAAATCCACAATTTTGACAGCTGAAACTGTAGGAATAGTTGCAGTTAGTCAAAGTAAGTTGCTACTGTTCAAACTGTTGCCAAGAATGTTTTAAAAGCTTCTGCTTTGTACTTCAAAGAAAATCTGAACTCAATCTTCAACCATTCCACCTCACTTCATTTCTGGAGCAAAGATCTGAAAAGCTGTCCTTTTCCTAGGCAATCTGGAAGTCCAAACCAAGACTTTCTACCATATTATTGATACATTCCGCAGTAACATAAATACTATACAACCATTTTCACTGATCAGTAAATTATACATATGACACGTTTTATATAATCCTGTATTTTTATCCCATAAACACATTTTCCAGACGTGAAAAAAAAAATCTGAAGCCAGTCAGTGTTTCAGAAATCTTACAGGACTTGGGACAGCCAATACACTGAGAACAAGTACTCCTAAATTCCTTTGCTGTAACCATTACAACATTCCAATCTACAACATCATTTCTTTTATGAGACAAGAGAGCCAACACTATCAAACACTGAAAAAGTCTTTTCAACCACCTTTATTTTTCAGTCAAGGGTTAGAGCACACCAGCACAATACCAACCACAAAGGAATTTGAGATTGCATCTCAAATTCACAGGTAACGCAGGCATCACAGCAAACAATAAAATGCTTTACAATCAACTTTGGCATTCAAAAGCCAACTGTGCAATCATCCAGAAATGTTTAAAGCAGAACAAAGCAGCTCATAAAACACCATGTTGAGATGTGTACCCTGTACCCTTTTCTGCACCTGAAACAAAAGTGTCTCAGTCAATAAAACACAATGCACTAGAGCAACAGCTACTCCACAAAAGTCTCTCCTTACTACACGAGGATGAGAAACGAGAGGGACAGCCTACTGCCAGTATTGCTGGATCTCATGTAGGCACTTAGAAGGCCCAGTGAACAAATGGAGAAGCTGGAAGAAATGCAGGAAGCCACCCCTGACATCCAAAATGTGATTAATGGAAGGGTTAGAAACATGGCATTTACAAATAGAGGCCTTTTGTAAAATGTTCTTCCTTTTATGGTACTCATCAAGCAAACATAATCCTCCACAGGAGAAGACGACTTAGCAACAACAAAAGCATCTCTGTTGTATTAAGAGCTTGGGAAAACAGACTAAACATGCTGAACAATGGAAAGCCTCTCAATAGCCTCATCTGCATCACACAATCAAAACCTCATTTGATACCTGCAGCATTTCAGCCACATTTGGATTTGGTTTATTTCAGTATATTCTGGGCAGAACTTCATCTATCAAAACTGTCAAATGAAACTTTCTTATAGCTTACAATTTAAAACTCCAGGTTATATTAAAATTCCCTCAGCAGCAAAAATGGGGTTTACTTTTTCCTTTCTCAGAACAATGAGACATCCATTACAAGTCAATTCCACTAAAAAAAGTCAAGAGATCTAAAACCCCACTACCTTCTTGAACATTAAACAGCTATTGGGCACAAAATAAATTTAAAAAAATAAAATTAAATACTCCAGAACTTAATGGTCTGATTAGAAACAGGCAAAACATTTGGGAACTCTCGGAATTTGAGTATCTTCAGAATTTGTGTGTATTACTTCATAAAATATTGAACAGACCTAGTGATTTATTAAATAATTTCCTATTCACAAAGCTTGTTTGTTCCTCACAATTAAATCAACAGTATTGAGTCCTGCCTCTCCAGAGGCCTTCTATAAAAGCAGAAGCTGCACTTCAGGCTTTGGTCGTGCAGATGTTTGGAACAGTTTGACTCTGCCTGCGCTTCAAAGAGGATTATAACATGCTCAAAAATTCTTTGACCTGCAAAAAAGAAACAAATATGGTCAATCAAACTAAGTATTTATCAACAGAAATACACAGCAACTACATTTACCTCCCCATTGCCTTATGCTTTACTACAACCTACAGAAACAGGAACTGGGAAAAAGAATCTTAGGCTCAACTATGCCATTTCTTGTCTGTTGCAGAATGACTCTAAGAGCAGGATCATAGAGGTCTGGAGGACTGTGCAAGCAAGGCAGGGGGTGGCCCCCACAGGTGGCCGGAGACTGGACCTGGGAGGAGAATGTGGAGGAAGCTCTGGGGGGGCTAACCAATACTGTTGTGCCAAGAAGGAGTGGCTGAATACCACTCCTATATGTGTGTGAACTGCATCACAAATAAAGTAGAAGTTGCTTATCACCCATATTGGGTTGGCCTGTCTGCTTCTCCTCGCCGCTTACACTTGTCCATCAAGAACTTTTTCAGCCATGATACCTGTAATTTAGCAAGTGCAGAGACACACTCAGTGGAATGATGCTCGCTCCTCCCATGGTCCTAAACTATGGCCCTATGTCGCAATTGATTTATCTTAAAAGCAAGTCTAACCTAAACATGAGGAAGATAATGAGCACCTCAAAACACGAGCATTTGGAAAACTCCAAGTCACACCCACTGCCAGAACACTGCTCACATTTCACGTCAATGAACAACCCAATGTATGTAATTACTGTGTTCCTTGGAATTTGAGGGTAGCAAATAACACTACCCAGCAAAACCACAGTTCCTGAAAAAAAATCTGATACTGTAGAACAGTTCCATAAAGAGCTCAGGTACTGTTGAACTCCACTTCCAGTACTTGAAGAGTGGTTCAAATGGCTACAGCTACCTAAAAATTAATAGTGGCCCACAGAAAGCTATCTAGAACCCTGGGTCAGAAATCCCTGATCCCACAGAGAGCACCAAAAAAACAGCAAAGCACGTTAAATAATCCATGCAATGGCATGAGAACAGGATCCAAACCAGGCAGTGTGCTACCATTACACTCCTAAGTGTGTGGTCACTTCAGACAACATCTTAAATTCAGGTCACTATCAAAGGTGGCAGGAAGAAAACATGCAGAGAACTTGCTTCTTCCCATAGATACGTGTGCTGCCTTGTCATGCCCCCTTCCCAAAAGGGTAACTATCCCTCCCTTTACAGTCTTGGGGTAGGAATATATGGCAGCAAGGGTAAGATCACCTTTTCTAAAATATAACAAGACCCAAGAAACATACAACTCCTATCTCCCAGTTTCAAGAACATCCTAGCAACTAGCTGCAATACAGCCTGAACTGGGAGCATTTTCTTCTCTGTCCCCTCAAGCTAGACTACTGCCTGAAAAGGAGTCGACAACATACTAAAGAACATGGTATTAATCCTTTGGCAGAGCTCTCATACACCGAGCGCATCTGTAAGCATTTAGTCCGAATTCTTGATGTGAAATGGAAACAGATCTTGGATCACATTCTCCACCTGTGACCCTTCCTTTCCTAGCTGAGGGTTCAAGGAGGCAATAAAAATAAGAGGTCAGAATGATTTCCTGGAGAGAAGGGAACACATAACTGTGCCAGCTCTCTAACTGGGAAGGTATTATGAGAAAGCCCCCTCCACTTCAGGAAGGACCAAAAGCAGTAGGTACACTATGAAGCTTATCACTAGGCACAGTTTCAGGACAGGTCTCTGCATGTCAGCATCACAGCAGAGGTAAGAAGGAAGCAGACAGGTTTTAGGTCCCCACAGGACATGAGCGTACACTGAAGTCCCAAGCACTCAGCCTCATGAAGAGAGTAACTGTTCTGGGACTCCATTTGGAATCTGAAAACTTAGAAATGCCAAAAAAAAAAAAAAAAAAAAAAAAAAAAAAAAAAAAAAAAAAAAAGGCCAACACAAGGCTTAGGCTGCTCCCAGATAACCTGACAGCCCTGCACAAGTAAAATCCTCTGAAACCCCTGCACAGGTGCCTGGGCTTGGCCTTATCTCATGGTGCAGGTGGGAAGCATATTCACTCCACAGCTGTGATGTCCAATCATTCCATCAAGTATCAAACTTTAAAAGAGCAAATACTATTAAGACTGGTTTTAATCAGATGAGCAGCTCTACTTCTCAGAGGATCAACGAAGATCAAAGCTGGTCTTCTTGTGAGGTAAACAATTTATTTCCAAAGAGCAGAAATATGTGCACGTACCATCACTAAGATCTGTAACTCATTGCAACTACTCAAATAAAAGTCAAGTTGTCCTCATCTGAACCCCACCAAGCTTCAAATATCAAATACCTGAACAGCTAAAATGCTGATGGTTTGGCCTAGCTTTAAAATATATATTACATCTTTTTGTGCTAAGGATTAGATCTTAATGCAAACACAAACCTCACCTTGAATTCTTTGTATATCAAATAGTCCGCATTTTTTCCATGCCTTCAAATAAAACTAAAAAATGCTTCTGATGAATATTCTGCATTACATCCCAAACAAAGTTAGAAAACTACATTTGAAAAGTACTGCCTCAAGTTTCAGACCCTGCTTTTGAGGATTTTGACTAACACTTTCATGAGCACAACTGAAGGAAAAAACTTTCATGATAGTTCCAATTTAATTAAGAAGGCTAAAAATACTGCAGCAGGTTGTAAGACTGTTCATTATCTGAATGCAACCCCAGGACTATTTTAGAATTGATGGCTATACACTGAAGTGCATTTTTAGAGCAAAGGATCCCTGCCTGCATCAGCTGTACTGCCCTTTGCTGTGACACAGGAACCAGAACAGGGGGCAGCCTGTACTTTCCTTCCTTTAGCTAGAGGCACCTACAAAACCTAAAATCATTTGCCACTGGCTCATTGCTTAAGATCAGAATTCAGCTGTGAGTTCAGAAAACTCACCCTTCAGTTTCCCCTTGTACTGGTTTTGTACTGTATTTTCACAGTACCTGGAACCAAAGTTCTTTTATTCACTAGTCCTGTAGGTGAGAACTTTCACACTTAAGACAAGGAAGACTTTCCAACAGTTGATGGATATTTAAATTGGAAATTCTATTTACAAACAAAGCTACTAGTGTCAAAGTCTTCTCAAATATGCCTGAAACATTTCCTCCCCTTTTTTTTTTCCTTTTTTTTTAATGGAAATTTTATGTAGGAAATACTATAAAGAACCACAGGTTCTAAGCCTAGTTTGACTTCAAACAGTGCTACACTTCAGGATGCAAGAAGTGTACTGAGTTCCTTTTGACATGCTGGCAACAAACCTCACTCATCAGTTTGTTCTGCTTATTAAATCCTACCTTTTCAGTCATGTGATCATATCTGTCCTTTTTGCCTTTGAAGTCTTCATTAACATCTAACGTTAAAATAGGTATTTCCTGGAGATACTCAAAATCCGTTCTGTATTAGGATAGGAACATAGAAAATGTTAGCAGCTGAAAACAAGTACCCATCATTCAAGTCTCTGTCAGCATTTTCCTTGCTAAGAATCCCATGAGAACTGCACATATAAACTACAGGCACAAACTCTGAATATAAAGCAGCTTGAAATTACAGTGGCACCTAAGATACATGATTGATTCTCAAACATCCTCTTCCCCCAGCACCTAAAGTTAAATTTAATTGCGTATTAAATTAGCTCAGCTGAATCCTCTGCTATTCAGGACTCTATGTAAAGAGAACTCAAGGCACATTGCGCATCCTAGTGATAATTAACATGTTGTCAAGCCAGTACTACTAAAGAACTACAGATAGAAACATTCCTAGAGTTTAACTTTACATATTGTAGGAAAAGCTGAAGTTTCACTGGTGGAAAAAGTATTATGGAACATCCTTACAAAGATGTATCCATCCTTAAGTAACCATTAAACAAACCCTACCGCAGTGTCCTATGCTGAAGCCAACTTTCATGTTTATAGTGAAGCTTCTCCAGATATTCAATGGGAATTTCTTGCTCTTCATCTCTTCCACGCAAGTAAATCCTATTTAAGCATTTCTAAAGGCAAAAGATAATAATTTAAAAAACTATTGTTTTTGCAGAGGAAGTCTAGTTTGTGAAAGTTTCTTTTGCCAACCCATCCTACTATGTTCGATATGCCACTCTCTGCCAGAGATGAATATTCAACTTGCTACCTATCTTACTAGCATAGAAACACTATTCCATGTTCAGCTGATGAAGCCCAGACTACAGTCAAAAATCAAAGGGGGACTCAAGGAAATGTATCATGTTATTTCTTCACTACAAGGAAAGTCTCCAGTAAGCTTTTTATTAAAAGAAGGGGTACCTGTGTATTGCATGAAAAGAGCACAGACTGGCATTACAAAATCTCATTATATATTTCACACTCTTAGGAAACCAGTTTTCCCATGTAGTATATATATCATTTGTTTCTGTCCTGAACACATCCAGAGCTTCAGTAAGAAGCAAATCAAAACTGTTTAAAACTGTTGTATTTTCCTGTTTATATACATGTTCTTTACTTAAAAGAAAAAAAAAAAAAGCTCTCAATAGCAAGCCTAACAGGAAAGCTCTCAGAGAAACTGTAGTTTCCAGTTCCAGTGGTATTTTCTGGTTTACTCTTGTCATATGTTCTGGTTTTATAATTAGAAAACCATTATCATTACATTTTATTTAAAAATACACAGGCTACATTTGAAAGAATATTCTTTTAAGTATTTCCAGACTGATTAGTCATACTCAAGCACTGTAGCTGTCAGGGGAATACTGCAACCAGAACTACACTGGAATCATTAGGACTGTTACAGCGAAAGATAAGGGTAGCTCAAGATTTTAAGAATATCACATTTCAACAAGCATTTTTCAACTGTTTCTTTGCCTGAGACAACCGAAGCAATCCCTAAAACAAAGACACAGTGACATGCAGTGACACTCAACTGTGACCTTACTGGAACTGACTGCAAGCACATTATTCTGTTATCATAAAAAAAGTCTAAATCATAGTTAAACACTATACTTAAAAAACCCAAACAAGCAAACAAAAAATCCTATGGAAGCATAAACAAAGATCAAATTTTACAGGCAAGGCACAGAACATGCACTCTCATTTTCTGTAAGGTCACACCTCGGGAGTGGCTCTGAGATAAATGATGCCATCCAGCATCAACCTCTGACCAAAATGCTGATTCATCCAGTAGTGCCAGTCTTGGTAAATAGTCCACTCAGTTTCATTCATGCAATCAGACTCATATAAATTGGCTGCAAAGATGTACCTGTGAACACATAATAGTTATGGAAACAGAAGTTAGCTTGAACACAGTTCTTGCTTTGTTTGCCTGAAGTACTGTACTGTAAGTAAATAAGAAGCTGAGCATAGTAATTTTGCAACTTCCTTGAGGTAGGCTTGGAGTGGAAATAAACAGCTGGTATCCTCATCCTCTATGTCCATTAGAGCTGGCCAGAGATGTGCCCACGAGAATCAGTAACACTGGCATCTCGGATATAAAATCTAACCTTCTTAATTATCAAATCTAACCTTCCAAACCCAGAAGCACATGGTACAGCACTACAAAATAGCTACATCTGTAATCAAGGACCATAAAAGAAAACAAGGGTAAGTGACAAAGGAAGAAATTGTTTATGACTTTTCTTGATGCCTGCTCCTCTCCTTTCTCTGAAGAGAAACATGCATGCACAAAGCATAAAAAAACCTACCCTCAAAGAATGAAGGTTAATTGAGGGTATACAACAAAATTACAAACCCCCTAACCAGTAGTTTTACTTAGGAGAATTCTGATCTTCACTTGAAGGACTCCAGTCCAAAGTACCTGTCACTGTAGACAGATCGCTCAAAGAAAACAACAGGATTCTCTGCCTCCCTGAGCTTGCCATCAAGGGACCTGAGCTGAGCCCGGATCCTGCTCAGGCACGCGTATGTTTGGAAAGTGAAAGACCACCTCTCTGGTTTTTCATACATCATCTGAAGCACATTTCCACCACTCTTCTGTGATGTGGTCAGCTCCTGGTTGTTAACAAATACAGAAACACCTTAAGTGAAGAAGGTGGACAGTTACGGTGAAACAGAATTTCTCTACAACATTAAAGCTGTTCAGCATTTACTTCAGGTTTACAACTGCTTCATTTACCTCTCAACCCTTTTTGTAATATAAGGCATAAATGCCAGAGCAACTCCCATGACACTGAGCTGAATGAGCAATTCTCTGCAATCCACAATGCCAAAATGCCCAAGTACCAGAACACTTTAATCAGTCTTTACAAGGTAAAAAAAAAAAAATCCTATCAGTATAAAAAGTCAACAACACAGTAGAAAAATCCATGTTCCTCTTACTCTGGCAAGTGTGAGCTTAAAATTGGCCTTATTTTGGCTTCCATCTATTAATTACAGTTCTTCCTACGGTAACAGCTACTGACATAGCATCTTCAGACCTCTCACCTTACCTAGGAGGTTCGGAACAGACTTGAGAGCAAAGATCTTCCTCAGCCAACAATGGAGATCCAACACCTTGAGAGAACCACTGAAGCTCACGGAAACAGAAAGCTGTGTGACTCAGGATACCAAAACCCCAGTCTACCAAAGACAACTGCTTTTGTCTGAATATTTTTGTTACATTAACACTAAATCCAAATACTGACATATTTTCAAAAGATTCTGGAATTCCAGGTTTCATCCTTGCCTCTAATTCCCTGCAACAATACTTGCGGTAGTAAACCAAACATGCCCACCACCATGCTCTGACACTGGCCAAGCAGCATCCTAGAGCACTGTTCACAGCACACCACCTCCAAAGCCTCCAGAAGGACACAACTAAGTGCAGTGCGCTGTCAGCAGGGCCCTGTGCTATTCAACTGCCCAAACCTGCCTAGGAACTGCTTGGAAGAGTCCCAGCTGGCATAGGACAGAAGTCTGTTAGAATCAGGGGACACAGCCTGGTTCCACTAAGCAGGATATGCTCCTCAACTCTGTCATCAAGCAGAGAAGATACAGCTACAGCAACCTCTCACAAGTCAGAGGACCTTTGTCAGGAAGGGGAAGGAAAAGGGGAAAAAACAAAGGCCTGTTGTTTGGGCTGTACAGCAGTCATACAACCAAGCTGGTGTGCAGTCCTGTGCTGTTCTATGGCAGCTGCTGCTGGTACTGTGTGAATAAGACAACAGCAAGAACACTACAGGCTATTGACAGGGCAGAAAAGAGTGTAAGACACCCACAGACACATCCACAAACAGCTTAACACCGAGCATTGTCTTGTTCTTAGGAACCTTTTTGTGTCTCCTGTCTAATTTTAGGAGTCATAATGTCCTCAAGCCTTTCTCCCTTTCCCACTCTGCCCCCTAGCAAGCAGGCTGGGGTGGGCAGGAAGCTGGGAGGAACAGAGCCAGAAGAGCTGATCCCAGTTGCCAATGGGATATTCCACATCATAGAATGCCACACCTCCATTAAAAGCTTCCACTTAAGTTTACCAAAACACATTGTACTTTTTGACAGAGCTAAAAAAAGAAAATCATCTACAGTTCTTCAAAAGCTCCACACAGCCAGCAGAGTGGCAACTTGGTAGGAGCTGGATTGCCAACAAAATTACAGGTAGCTGACTAAAAAAAAAGCACCACTACAAACCATTTAGCAGTTAGTTATTTCCTAGACATTTTAAGGGACAACTTCGAGGTCACCTAGAGAACCCTCTGCTCAATCACAGTTGGTAAAAGTAACAAAAGTACTCTCTTTTTTCCATCCTTTGCTTTTATACATAGAACAGGCTTTTACAGCTTTTATCATTTATATCCTGACTATGAATAACATTTATTCTACAATTCACCAAGCTAACTGAAAAACAGGAACTCAAACACTGAAATAAGAATCAGGAAAAAAGTTGCTATCACATATGTTTTCTAACAGACTTCATCTATCACACGTACTGGTCTTCTGAAATTAGGAGAACATACAACTGGGGTTCGGGGTTTTTTTGTTTTTAAAAAGAAACCTCAGTTTATTGTGCCATACCTCACAATCCTCTTCAGAGCTGGGCTGGACATTGCACCATCTTGCTATAGGCTCAGGAACAACTTCCCACTCCTCATCAGCTTGTTTGAGAATCTCCACAAACGTCGATTTCCCTGCAGCTGTAGACAAAGCATGCAGGGAAAACAGCAGCTAAAATCCACATTTTTTTACCAGGAAGAGTGGCATTATTTAACCACTATACAACTCCAGCTTCAAGTCCCATAAGGAAGTCTCTGACACCCACATACGGTTGACTTGATGTCAAGCACCAGAGACCATCCAGTACCACAGATCACCAACTCAGTAAGCATTGGGTTTTCTTTTTTTGTTGTATACCACACCAATAGCCAACTCAACAACAAAACAACGACAAGATGTCTCAGGCCAGCTCAATTATCTACATTATAAAAAGTTATATTTGCAATTAGAAGTCTTACATTTCTAAGGATACCAAGTGGTCCCATCTCAGGCATGGAGTTACAGCCTTCCAAGTTTTATTAGGAATCTAAAACAAACCCCACAAAAAAGGCAAGTAACATTGAAAGAAACATAAAGCAGAAGTGATGATTTCTCAAATGGAGACACCAAGGTGTGCTACTAGTTACTTCCTCCAGCACGCAAGTCATTCATCTGTCATTAATCTGCCAATGAGCTCAGGAAAATTTAGAGAGAGACACTTGAAGCTGGCAGAGGCCAGCAGTTGGCGCTATCAATTGCCACAGCGTGGAGCAATGTCAGTGAGCTGACAGCCCTCCAAGTCGGGTACTCGATTTTAAGCACATCCTCTTGCCAAAAATTAAAAAAAAAAAAAAACATAAAAACAAAAAATAAAAAATTTCTAAAACCCCAAGCACCAACAAAACCCAAAACAAAGATCCTCAAAACCACAACAAACAGAGGAGAGTGTCTTATGAACAGCCCCTCACTCCCGCTCTTCATAACAGACTTCTGCTGCTCATTAGGAGTCCTGAACATGACAAGTTTGACCCGACAGTCTGCACTGACACCGGTGTTCCACCCTGCAGTCAGAAAGGCTGTGAGAGAAGCCTCATCCAGGACTCCAACGCATCTTTAATGATGTGAATAAACCAAAACCTCAAGTAGAAAATTCCACCACCCCCCCCACCCCCATCCCGCCATTTTTATACATCGATTCATTAATTCCTACGGTGCCAACAAAGTTATCAACGTTACCGGCGGGCTTGGCGGCACAACACACCCCGCCGGCCTGACTCACACCTCATTACCTCACGAAGCGCCTTTTTCGCTGGGCAAAGGCGAGGAAGAGCTCGGCGAGGAGGGAGAAAGGAGGGAGGTCCCTCGGAGGGGGGAAAGAGGAAAGGAAGCAACGAGGGAAGGAGGGAGGGATGGCTGGCCCGACTCACCGATGTTTCCCTCAACCGCGATCTTCTTGATCCTGCCCTCCAGCCGCCCGCGCTTAGGAGGAGTAGCCATGGCGGGCAGCAGCCGCGGCGTGAGGGGACAGTAGCTCCGGAGGCCGCCAACGGAAATAACGGCCGCCGCGCTTGCGCCTGCGTTCGAATCTGGCGCGCGGCGGGCTCGAGAGGCGTCATGAGGCGCTGCGTACGGGTGGCCGCGAGGTCCGGGGCGTGCGGCGGGGCGGTCGGTCGAACCCAGCGCTGCAGAGCCGCGGCAGGAACGGAGCGCTTCGATGGGCGGGCAGCGGCCACCGGGGCGCTGCCCGAGGGCGACGCTTCGCTCAGACCCAACTGGCCGCAGCCAGAGTGGGAGGCGCAGGGAGGAGACCGTACGGTGCCACGAATTCAGTATCGCGGAAACATTAAAAGTCACAAGCAGGTTGGTTTTAAGAGGGACTGAAGCACTTGTTTACAGTTCAAAACCCCCCAAAACCCGCTGAACCCGCACTTGACTGCTTCCCAAAATACCATACCAACATAGCGCTATCTTGGTTCCTGGGGGTCCAACAGGGGAAAAACCCTCCTATCAATAGAAGGGAGTAGTGACCAGCACACACGCTGGGGTAAAACTCTGTATGAGCCGCTGCTGGCACGGTCCGTCAAACATCCCCAACCCCAAAACATGGGGATTAACATAAAATGTGAGATTTTCCACCACCTTTTCAAGCCAATGGCACAAACCACTCGTCAGGTGCTGGCAAGAGGTGACTTAGCACAGGTACGGGCATGAGTAGAGAAGGCAGAGGGAATCGGATGGTGGTAGGAAACCTGGAGTGCTGGGACTGGCAGAGTCGTAAGAGGCTTTGGGGAGAAAGAAAGAAGGGGAAAGAATAAAAAAAGGTGCCTGTGCTGCAAAGCATGGCCAAAAGCAGTCTGGATTTGGGGAGAAAGGGTGACCTGAGGCAGCGCACTGCAAACCTTTCTAGTGGCCCCGGGGGTCAGTGCCGAGGTAAAGCCATGGCAGACCCCTGATCTGGCATCCCAGACCAACTCCATCCACACTGGGTCGACTCGCGTCATGAAACACGGCACTGTCTCCGGTTGGTTTATTGCTATGGTGTCTGCCTGCAATACAAATATTCACAGATTCCAACAATGCAATTACAAATATCTGATTTGTAGGTGTAATAATGTTCATATGTGGACAACATATAGGAAAAAAAAAACAGCTATCTACAAGGAGAAGATAATTTAGAAACAGGCTCAAGAAGGAAATCAAGACAATCATGGTCAAACATAGCTATTTATTTTCTCTTATAAACAGCCTTGAGCTTGTCATTGAAAAAAAGCTAGAATTTAAATATTCTGTCCCATCACATACAACAATCTGTATACAATATTTACAACTCTCAAATAAACATGGTGCAGATTTTCAGACATTCAACTTTTTTCCTTTGTAATTAAAAGCTGTTCTTATTTAAAACTAAAATATTGATCAGTGACTACCAGCGGAAGCGGTATTGGCACAGTTAGCTCACAGTAAGGGTTCTCATCTTGCACTCTATAATTTACAACACATTTTATCCCAACTATGTTCAGGATTCTAAAGGAGGAGAAAAGGTTAGTGTTGCTTTCATCATCTCCAATTTCTTTTCTGCCTTCAAAAATGGCCTTTTATTGAAACTTCATTCAATTTATTGCCTTCTTCCTCTCTCGTGCATGGCACATCAAGGCATGTGCCTCTAGGTACATAAGTAACACCACCACAGGGTAGCCAAGTAGTACCACAAGCCTTGGAAATAAATGTTTCCTCAACAACACATCTCTGGAAAATGTTCTAAGTTGCAAATGTACAAAAATAATGAGTATAGTTTAGTGGCTATAAAAATTAATTTCCCCTAAAAATACAATACTCTATGAACACTTTAAGGAGCTGGAAAACAGGAAAATCAAAAGATTTTACACTTAAAATAACCAGTATTAGTCTCATCCTAGAAGAGAAGATGTCCAGGGCATAATGAGGCATCCATAAAACTGCTAGTGGTTTTAATAGTGCAGCTTGGAAAAAAACAACTGGTATCAACAGTGAAGGAAACTGGACCTGTCATAACAGGGAATCTTTTAGTGAAAGGAAAGCAAGGAGCCTGTGTTCGAGCCACAGCTTTTTAATAGCTCAATGGAAAGGGGGTGGTTTATATACAGTAACAGAGCACTCCAGCAGGTAGGAGGGGTGAGAGGGCAGTGAGATAAGGCCAAACTATCCAAAAGGGATGTGTTTATAGAGTGAAACTGTGTCTGGTGGTTCCAGATAAAGGGAAGGTGATAAATTTGGAAGGTAAGTAAAGTCCATAGCAGCAAATAAATATCCTTACCTGTTAACATGCATGTCAGGGAGACTGGGAGAGTATTCAGTTCCTAAATACTGAGTAAGGAGCGTGCTCCTCTCTATCTTAAAGTAAAAGCAAAAGTCCAAAGCTCTACATTGCATAGTAAGCAATAAAGGAAACTTGATACTTGCAGATGGGCCACCTGCCCATGGAAACCTGTTTTCTCCCTTCCTCTAGCATTCAGCTACCTGCAATGGCGGGTTTATTTTCTATGTGCATGATTAACTTGAATCCCTGCCTTGAGTTTGAAAGACTAGAACATGATGTATCCACACCACCTCAGCAGTGCCACCACTGGCAGTGGTGGCTCAACTTGACCCGCTTGGCAGCACCTTCCCCATCCCATCTCGAGGTAGATGAACCTCCTGAAGTTACCACTAAAGTCACTGATGTGCTCCAAGATGCCGGTGGCCAGAAACCACCACAAACCATAGGATTTATGGACCCGCTTACACAGGAAGGCCTCAGGCAACACTAGCAGCCCAGCCTCGCTCAACCCCACCAGCACCTTCCACTCCCAGTGACAGCAAAGCTCAGTTTTAGTTTGACGACACCACAGTCCGCTTTAACGTGGCCTGGAGCAGCGCAGGGTTTGTTCAGGATTCGTTTCTCTGGGGTTTATTTGGGAGTGAGAGGGTGCTCTCTCCTTTCCCCCCAATAAATGCACTATTTTATCAACACATTCACTTCACCCAGACTCCATCTGTACATCATGGCAACTTTTGTGTACCATTTCTATGTGCCCTTGCTTCAAGAGTGTAAACATGCATCAGCTTCTGGTCCCACACCTTTCTGAAGCAAAAAGCTGCAAACATAAACAGCACAGGGATACTAAATCCCAAATGCTGCATACATGTCTTCAATATTGTTATTTTCAAGTGTTGTTGTATAATTAAACAATGTGTTCATACAGCTGTCAGGCAAATCATGATCTCCAAGCTTTTATTACAGTCCTAGGCACTAGTCTGTAACAGGGTTTTCTACTGCCAGATTCTAAATCCAAAGAACACACTATAAACATGAGACTCATTTTTTGCATAAGAAATTCTAATTCTGACTGGCTGAACTGCACCAGATGCCTCTAAATTTCTAGAGCTGGCTATTTAAAAGAGAAAAAACACTTTCCAGAGCTTAAGTATGCCAAAAATGAGAGCTACTGCATTGGTATCACTCCAAGCAAATCCTAACACTTCTAAATATTTTTCTTTCAAGTTTCTTGCTGGTACATGACACCAAACCAATGAGACAACTTGACAGCTTCAAATCTAATGGAGGTTATCTCCTATTTAGCACCTTGGAGCAGGCTTCCGCCATTCTCCTGTGTCTTGCTGTGATAACTTGAGCTCTAGGCATGGGTCAGAAGGCTCCCCTCAAGTGCCACCAGCACAGGGAACATGCACATACAGCCTGTCCAGCAGCACTGACTCAACTCAGCAAAGCAGTTTTCATAGGTAAATTTACAGGACTTTTTAATATCAAACTGCATCTGCAGCACTCTTCATGCCTCTGTAGCAGGGAATTTCAGTCATTAGTCACTCCTCAGACAGAAGCACACTCTTAAATTCAGCTTCCTGCATGACCGGAGTCCTGCACACTGGAGAGACAAGATCCTCACTGGCTGAGAAAGGATAAGACCTTACTCAGCCTTTTTTAAATTAGCAGTTTGTTAGAATACTTGAGGGAAAGCTGTTTTTGCACCACCAGCTTAACTCAGTGTGGACTGTGGTAACTCCAGTCCAATCCCAAAACTCAAGGAAACCACCATATAAAAGCTCCTTCCTTTGACATCTGCATATTAAGAAAACTTGGTAATGCTGTATGATATCAAAAAATTAAACATAAGGACAACTGAACATTTCACTTGTCCTTTGAGGAGATTATAATGGGCAATGACATTGATCTGCCAAGGAGCCAAACGCAATACGTCTCCTTGAATGAGTCGTTCTGAATTAAACCAAGGGCTGTCTTCATGACAAATGCTGAACTGCAGGTGGTTTGCAAGCAGCCTCGCTGTCTAGTATTAGTGTAGCCAAACCTGAATGCAGTGAAACAAGCACAGAATGCCAGTTTCTAGCTCAGTACTCGCTATTCTCAATTGTTCTCATGTCTGTCCAGGGAGGAAAGAAAAGAGAGACAGAAGAGGTAACAAACCATTAAATTGCTTCTCCAGGAAGCAGCTTAAGGAGACCAGGAATTTAACTGTTGAAGATACCATAGTTCTTAAAATACCCTTCTGAAATATATCGTGTTAACACACAAGTAGTGATTCTAGTCTCCCAAATGACTACATGTTTATTATGTGCTTAGATGTTTGTCAGAGGGCTGTACTCATGGCCACCTGCATATTTTGCAGGCTGCTGAACAGTATTTTTCCCTTTATTCAGCATTTTCAGTCAAACAAAGGTGTACAAAAGGTAAGCTCAGCTTCTCTTGCATACTAACTGTGGCTTCACCTGTAAAGTTTAGAGGTTCAAGGTCAGTCGATCATATGCCAGTCAGTTAAGGTCTTTGTAACTGAAGTCTAAAACTCGTGTTATGTGTAGTCACAATCTAGCAAAAGCCTGGCACCATTAACCACAACCTCACGTACTCTGGCAACCACCGGTACTACTGGAGAGCACACTGAAGAACCTAGCACAGATTTCTTTGAATCCAAAACACAATGGCTTAGACGATACATAAATGAACAAGAGCTACTCATACAGGCTTCGGCAATGGGAAACCTGACTGATGACAGACCTCCAGCAGAAATCCCCAAGTCACTGACTGCGGATCATTCCGGAAGTCAACTTCTCCCAGGCCGTTCCCGTATCTGGTTTGAGAAAACGTAAGGCTGGAGAGGCA